ACGAGTCTTCGAGGCCTTCAAGTGTGATTTGAGGAAATTGGCATGAGCCGTTGAAACCTGCTTGCGCAAAGGGATTCACCGGGTCGGTGTATACACTCCAGTATGTTGATGCGGAAGTCTTGTTAGACGTAGAATCGAGAGGCTCTCCATAGTAGAAAAGGCCTTGATCTTTGCACTCCCAGCGGTACGACTCTCGTGGGAATGTATTCGAAGCATATGGTGTACGTTTGTGGTGACGATGAATGCTTTTTTATTCTTCTGTAAGTTATCACTATTTTTGTCAATACAGATAGACGTACTCACACCTCTACATAGACCAGTTCAAACTCGTCATCAGCTTTTACGTATTCTTCTTTGCGCACGTGAGGCATGTTGCACCAGTTGTAAGTGCCATATTCAACGCCAGCTGGTAACTGCGAGCTGTTGAATATGAAGCCATTCGTTCCAGTACCGTTTAGAATTTGGTCAAGATTGTTGATCCAGCTTTTCTTGGGTGGGTACCATCCCAAGTCTACCTCTGTTGCTGATACCGAAGTAGCGATGCTTGCGAGCATCAATGTGATATAGTTGCGTGAGGCCATGCCGATGCTGAATGACAAGAGATGGGCGAGCACGAAGGTGGTGCAGGTTGCAACAAGCACGGAAGAGATGCAGAGGACTACATACCGCATTGTTTATATCGCAGTTTATCAAGACGCGATATCGGGAATCATTGCAGAAAACAGAACGTCTCGTCATCGGCAGCAAGCGCTAGTAGGAGGTACTTCTTGGAGGATTCGCGCACGCGTCGAAGACTGCCGTCGCGATTGGTCCACTGGAGAAGGAAGCGGGTTCATCGTCCGTCCCACTCCGGAATTGACCAAACATGGTGCTGTACCCAACCACGCTCCACACATTCTCCAACTATTCTTTACCAAAGGAACCAAAAAGTCCAACTTAAAAGGCACGAACGCGGTATTGTTGCAACGTCGATCCGCCAATGTCAGCAATACAAACTTTTCGCACAAGACTCCGAGTCAAGTTAAAGTCTAAGTCGAGTCAAAGTCAAAGTCAAGTAGCAAAGAAGTAAAAACTTTGACATTTCCTCAAACACTCAACCCCTCCAATTGCCACGTAAAAAAGCAATCGCTAAATACAGTTTGGAACTACCTCATCAATAAAAGCTACGCTCAGCGCCAAGTTTAACCACCCGGATCCCTCTTGCAAAGAGGAAACGGTATGGGAAGAGCATGAATCTAAGGGGTACTAAACAATCGAAAGGGGGTATGCGCAATATTGAAGTCAAACTCAGATAAACAGACAAATAAAAGACAAAGGAGTATCAAACATAGTCGACATAGGAAAAAGGTATGTGCCAAGCTCAACTATACACATGCACCTTGTGAAATGCGTACGATTTGAAAGTATAACATGCTCGGCACGTCCAGGTGCTTGTTTCCTCAAACATGCACTGTTGGATAAATGCTGTTTTTTTGGATAATGGAGACTGGCAGTGTTGCGGTCCAACGACGTACCAGCGCGGATTCTTGTTGATTTCACAGACTGCTGTTTTTGCTTCTAGAGCAGATGGTCGATTAAAAGGCACCGGGTCGGTATGGGCGATACTCGCGACCTTCTGCGCTGACTGCGCGGCCGTTGGTAGCAGGGACTGAAAGTTGTCTCGATGTTGGTCCGTCTGCAGTAACGACGCGACGCCTGCCCTTTTCGAGTCGTGTAGTCCTCCAGCTCTCATACCACTGCTCGCGGCTGGCTTCACGGAGCTCAGAACGCCAATCGCTAAAGACGCTTTCCCTGAGCTTGACGAAATCGCAATGCTCTGGGTTGTAGGGATCGGCAAAACCCCAAGGAAACCTACGCCCAACAACCTCGGGGTCATAAGGATCCGGCGAGATGATGCTGAGAGGCAGGAAAGGTGTTTCGGTGCTTTCGCTGTGAATCGACGCAGCCATGGCAGACGGCTTGCGGCTGTGGTTCCTGCTACCATTTGGCGCCGACGCCGAAGGTGATTGGGATTTGGTGGACGACGCAGACGAAGCAATTGAGCGTGCGGCTTCGGAAGAAGAGCGTTCGAGGATCTTGTTCAGCATCTCGGACTTTTGTTCGCCGTCAGACGAGTGCTCATACTCATCCTCGTCGCGCTCGTCGAGTCGGTCCTCATCATCATCCTCGTCATCACCCAACTCGAGATTCAAAGCCTCGAGTGGGTCCAACTTGGATCGTTTGATTGTGTCCCACACCGTCTTCTTGAGATAGCGCATGTGGGCACCAGTAATGGTGTCTGCCTTGCTGATGACTGGAATCACGGTGGTCCTTGTTTGGAGCTCGCGGAGCACATTGAGATCCAGATTCTCGTCCAGGCCTCCAAAAATGGCACTGCCGGCATTGACGATGTTGACATTCTTGCGGGCCTCGGCAATGTTCTGATCCAAACGGATGGGATCCAACAAGAGAAAGACGCAGTGGATATGCGTGTCCTTTGCTCCTGGGGAACGGACAACCTTTTGCTCTTCACTGAAAGTGTCCTCAAACTTGGATTCGAGGAAGGTGGTGATCAGAGGCAGCTGGAAGTCGACAATGTTCTTTTCGAGGCCCTCGGAGTCCCAGAGGGTGACGCCCACTCTCTCGCCATCGACTTCGGTCTCGAGAAACTGCGAGGTGAAGGGCGAATCATCACCACCAACGGCAGTCGCGGGTGGAGAAGGAGTACGCGGTCGCTTGCTAGCGGGAAGCGCGAGGGCGGTGCGCAGGAACTCGATGAAGGCGGACTTGCCGGAGCCCTTTGTGCCAATAACAAGGATGCTGAAACATGGTTAGCTAGCGTAAATGAAGAGATGGTGGTGACATACTTGAATGGTGTGGGATCCTTCCTCCTGCGCACGCGGCGAGGGCTGTTGACGTTGGTGGCCTGGGTACTGGCATAGCTGTAGCGGCCGCGGTTGGTCATGCTCTCGGTCCTGGGGTATGGATCAATGTCGGCAGGCAATGGAGGTGAAGGGCCGGCGGGCATGTTGGGCTGGCGAGCCACCTTGGAAGGATCAACCGAGGGCCGGCTGAAGTTGAAGGCATTGGGGTTGTAGGCGCCGACCTTGTTGGAGACAATGGCGACCGAGTCTGGACGGTAGGTATCCTCGCCGCCGAACGTGGCAATCTGGGGCAGGGCCGAGTGCGAGGGCAGGCGGGGCGGCTGGGTGGGGAGCATACTGGCCTCGCGCTGCCTGCGCAAAGCCTCCTCCTGGGCGAGGGCCTTTTGCTTGCGGCTCATTTTTGCTCCAGAGGTGCTTCTGCTGGCGCTGCTACCACGAGTCTCTGAGGAGCTCTTCCCGCTGGCTCTGCGCAGAAAGTTGAAGCTGGTCCTGCGTGTTCCGGACTGGTTGTCGACAGATGAGAGCGAAGGACGAGCAGCAGTGTCGGGCGAGTCTTCCTTGTGTGGCGAGGGATTGGAGGAGTTGAGAGCGGCAGTGTCCGTAGTAGAAGCCATGGTGGGCGGAGGGGGGGGGTGTCTTAATATCAGCGGCTCAGTGGTTGCGCGCGTGGTTAATCTTAGTAACGGAGAGTGAGAGGACTCGTGGGTGGGCAGTCAGTCGGAAGAGAGAGCTAGCTTCCCTATGCCAGACAGGGTCAAGAGATTGGGTCGACGAAATGGCGTCGACAGAAATTGAAATTGGAGGAGGGAGCGGCCGCCTGTGTGGCCAGGTTAGCAGTCTGCTCCAACGCGTATCCCATGGCGCGTGCGGGACAGAGACCAGGGTGTGGGTCAGAGGAGTCGGAGGGACGTCTGCGTATGTACGTACTAACCTTAATATCCGACACTACTGCAGGGACGACGATATTGGGGGCCAGGTGGTGGTGGCAGCCCCGGATTCTGCAACAGCAAAAGAAACAAGGGACAGCAAGGAGCGACCTGACGTGCTTGCGGATGCTAGTAGGGCTGAGGGAGGAGTGCGGCAAAAGCAAATGAGTGCAGGGCAGCGTGGACGAGGCAAGGCATGGCATGAGAGGGAGGGAGCCGAGGAAAGGGCTGAAATGGGACTGGACTGGACTTGGACTGGACTTGGGCTGGCCGTGACTGGCACTGGCACTGGCACTGGCACTGGCACTGGCACTGGCACTGGCACTGGCACTGGGCGCGCTGCGGGAAATGGCAGATGCAGATACAACGCCCGACGAGGGTGGCACGCACACCCGGTCTCAATGCGAAACCGCTTGCTTGCTGACGGCATTGATTGGGCAAATGCAAGTATAATTTGCACTTTGCACCCACGGCTGGCCGACGACAGATGACATGGATGCCGATCCACGACGGGCCAGTCATTCTAGCCGAGGCGATGGCGCGATGGATGCGCTGGATGGGCAGGGCCAGCAGTTGGAGTCGAGGTGTGTAAATGTGTGAATAGGGGGCTCGCCCTAGCCCGACGATCCTCACACGCCACGGCGCAGCAGCACCACAAGCCAAGTGTTCTTCTGACGGCGAGTGCGTGAATGCTCCCCATCGCCATGCTGCCTGTGCAGAGACGTCAAATGCCTTGTATCTCAGTGTGCGCACGCATGTGTTTGCATTCAGAACTATGCACGTGTCAGAAACCATGGCCAGTCGGGGGCCTGCGCCACACCAACACCATCCACACAACACACGGCCTCTGCTCGACGGCACACTCTCGCCGAACCCTGCGCCTATCGATATCCTACCCCGCAATCACACGGTTCACCACGTTGGACCTTTCTTTTCTTTTTACTCCCCCGCCCGTGCCCCCGGTACCATTGCCATTGACTTGCGCCCAGCAGCATCGCCCGTGGCGCCGCCATCTTCTTATCCTGACTACCATGTAGACAGCCAATGCCATTACTCCCCAAGCCTCCAGAGACACCGGTGGCTTGTCATGCCATCCCCTAGCATGACACCGCCACCATCATACGACATGTTGATGGACATGCTGTAGCCAAAGCGTTAAACCTCCTACATGACCCAAACGTCAATCTGACTCGTGCCTTGATGCGTCTAGTTAAGGTGAATAGCTGCCTCGCTCTTCAATCGACTTGAGCACTTCCTCAGTATGCTGCCAAACCTTGTCCACCCCGCCGTCGTCTCGAAGCTTTCTCGCATTGTCCGTGTCTGCCAATATCTCGCCATTCCAGTTGAGAAGGTAGCTCCCGCTGCCCACAACACCATCGCTACCCACCATACTCGTCGTCTCTGCAGCCACACGTGGAGCGTAGATAGGCGAGGTGGCAGCAAACAGATGCCGCTCCCCACTTTCCCCCTGGGGAACAAACATCAGCCGGCCCAGCTTGGAGAGCACAAACTTGGCTACTCCATTGAGCGGCCCAAAAACTTGACGCGTTACCCCCGTCTCAACCCCCGATGGGTAGGCGTGGATGTACGTCGTCTCGGGGTGCTGCTTAGCCAGCTGGGCTGCGGACAAAGAAAGCATCGCGCTCGCATGAATCATGACATTCTTCAGGCTAAACGTGTTCTTGAGCGAAAGGTCCGAGAAGTTGACTCCTTTCAGTCGCAGGCCAGCCTGCGGATCCAAGACTGCAACTACGCGCGAAAGCTCGGTTGATGCTGCTGCTGCATCCATCAATGGGCTCAGCTGTTGGATGAATCTCATGCGTGCATAGTAGTGCAACGAAAACTTGCGATCCAGTCCCTCGACTGTCTCGTCGCGGCCCTTGAGGGTAAGATATCCGCACGTCATAAAGAGTATGTTGACGTGCTTTTCCTTGCTCTTGATCTCATTGCATACCTCGTCCACGTTCTTCAACAGCGAAACGTCCTTTTGGATAAAGCTTACTTTTGACGCCGAGTTGATCTCGCGGAGCTCGTCCACAATCTTGCTTGCTTCGGTGGCATTGCGCCCAATGAGGTAGACGGTCGGCGAGACCGTGTGACGGACTAGCTCGCGTGCTGTGAAGAGGCCAATTCCGCTTGTGCCTCCGACAAAGACGGCAACAGGGTTGGGTAGGACAGACTTGAGCGATGCGTTGTGACTGCGGACTTCTGATATTGCGACCATGATGATGATGATGATGATGAGTAATAGGGTAGCTTTGCAGACTATCTTACAGCGGCTGCGAACGTCTTATGTACACGATGTTTATTGTACAACTGTGCCACCGGCAGGCAACTGGTCCGAAAAGTCTCGGTGTTCGTCCGGCCCCCAACAACCAAACCATGCATAATGGCAGAACAAGTGTTGTAAGCCAATAGGGGCCCACTGTACAATCGCAACATCACATTGGCAGCTCCATGCAGGTGATGCTCAATGCGGCTCAAGCACAAGTCTCGGTAGCCTCCGAGCATAGCGCTACTAGTACTAGGTCCCACCAGACCCTGATTCCCTTGCCTCTCGTCCCCACTTTGCCCGTCTCTCGAACACACGGCATCATGACTCAATCTCCATCTCGAGCAGCCTTTTGGGTTCAAGAATCGCGTCCACGATGAACGCACTCGGTGATCTGTCTCCCACCCTAGATCCAACTCAGCTTGCCGCGGGGCAGGCGCCTCCCACCCCGCCTCACGAGAATGCCCTCGACGATGTGTATGGCTCTGCGCCTTCGTCTCCAGTTCTCTCTACACATGCCCCGCAGGCACGGCGCCATGAAATCCTTTCCGACCTGCCCTCTCGTCAGCGCGCCCTGGATACGGATGCCTATCGAGAAGGCCTAGCAACTAGCAAGGGCCAGTACGTACAGCAAGGATTCGACGAAGGCTATTCTCTCGGGGCAAATCTTGGACTCAACACAGGCTACATCCTCGGTGTTCTGCAAGGCTTTGTTGCCGCATGGAAGAACCATGATCAGCCAGTACACAAGGAAGCCACGGAAATCTACAATACGGCTCGGACCGAATTGGCCATAGAGCAGCTTTTAGGCAAACAATGGGTGGATGAGGAAGGCATCTGGAAATGGGGTGTCGTGGGCAAGGAAGATGATCCTACGTTTAGAGAGGTCGCCGCTCACCATCCCGTGATACAGAAGTGGATGGATAAGATCCAAGAATTGGCCAAAAGGTGGAATGTGGACCTCAAGGCAATAGACAAGATGCATGCTTTACAAGAACATGAAATCTGAGAAGAGGACGAAAAAGACATAATCGAATACACGGGACTCAAAGTCCTGAGAAGCAGTCTTTGCTTGGTCATGGGAAGCCTTGGTACACTGCTTTAGTAAATCAAAATCCTTTCCTCGCTCTTGGTCCGTCGGCTCAGTCGGAGATAAAATCGCCTAGCACCGATGGTATGAAGCCCACTTGAAGCTTTCGTTATTGCTACAACATTACCAGTAGTATTTCCTTAATGTGCACATTAGTGCAGTAAACTCAGAATCAGCTGTTTATCTTATTCCATGTTTTTTTGACATATTATTGTGGTGGTACTGATAATTCATAGTAAAGGCGGCTCGTTTTGGTCTGGGTTCTCCAGTTCCACCGATCGACCGAAAGCCTCGGAGGTTCAAGGTTGTTGCCTTCTGAACGCACGGACCAGAAAACACCGAAAATGCCGTCATGACTATACGGCCAAAGATAAACTCCTGTTGCGACATGCTTACCATGCCAAATCTCACCCGTCTCGTTTTGCTCCAGCTCTCCTCTCGACAGCCATGATACATGGCTTGTCTGCTCTTCACCGAGCACATGCACATAACGCCACACTGCGATTGCTGACGTCAGCCACTTGCCCCACGCGCTTGTACCAAGCACAACTTGCGCGCCGCCTGCAGACACAAGCATGGGAACCATTGCGCCCCCCAAACCCTGCCGACCTGCCCAAACCCAAGCAGCGCAAGATCAAGCCCCCTTTTACCCGTCGAAAATGGGTGCGCCGTCTCGCTGCTGTCTCTGCACTGCTCGGCGCAGGATGGGCAGTTGACCGGCAATTCAATGCCTCGTCCATCACTCGCAGTCTGCGCACATTCAAAGTCGGCCTCTTGATTGGAATCGATTACAAGATCAACTTCCGTGCGCACCCACCGCTTGCAAATAGCATCGAGGATCTCCATGCCAGGAACGCGACTAGAATCTTTGATCTTCTGCGATACAATGGCGGGTTGTATCTGAAGATCGGCCAGGCCATTGCTATGCAGAGTGCTATCCTCCCGCCGCAGTTCCAGAAGATGTTTCAGCAAATGTTTGACGATGCGCCGCAGAACGAGTGGTGGGAGGTGGAGAAGGTCATACGGGAAGACTTTGGCAAGAGCGTTGAGGAGGTTTTTGGCATTGGCTTCACTAAACAAGATGGCCGGGGTATCATGGAGAAGACTGCTCGAGCTAGTGCAAGCGTTGCCCAGGTCCATTGGGCAAGGCTGACAGATGGAAGAGAGGTAGCCATTAAGATCCAGAAGCGAGAGATTGCACAGCAGGTCGGATGGGATCTATGGGCTTTCAAGGTGGTCTCCAAAGTATATACATGGTGGTTCGGAATTCCCCTCTATACCCTCGTGCCATACATATCAGAGCGCCTAATGCTCGAAACGGATTTTGAAAACGAGGCAAACAACGCGGTAGAGATGAAGACATTGGTGTCTGGAGAGCCAAGACTCAATGGACGAGTTTACATACCCACTGTTTACCGCGAGCTTTCCAGCAAGCGAGTCATGACAGCCGAGTGGATAGAGGGGGTCAGATTATGGGATAAGGAGGGAATTACAAACAGCTGGAAAGGAGGATGGCGTTGCGGCAGCCCAGGTGCAGGCGGCGAACAACTACCACCTATCCCACAAGATGCGCCAGTGGACACTCATGCTCCAGAAGATGCCACAAAGCATGATTTCTTCAAGCCGGATCGCAGCTACTGGCGGGGCAAGGACGGCAAGGGCGGTCTAGGCGTTTCGCTGAAGACTACGATGAATACCATTGTAGATCTTTTTTCGGCGCAGATGTTCTTATGGGGCGCTGTACACTGTGACCCGCATCCGGGTAACATTTTCGTTCGCCGCCTCCCCAACGGACAACCCGAAGTCGTCCTCATCGACCATGGCCTGTACATTCGCATGGATCCCAAGTTCCGCCTTCAATATGCTACATTCTGGAAATCACTATTGGCTTTCGACAATGACAAAATCGAGGAGATTGTTAGTAGCTGGGGTGTCAAACATGCAGACATTTTCGCCTCTGCAACGCTCATGCGCCCGTACGAAGGCGGTGACAAGAGCGTAGCTAAAGTGCTCAAAGCCGAACGCAAGGGCAAAGACCAAGCCGAGCGCGCTTTTGAAATGCAAGCCAAAGGACGCGATGCCATCAAGCTTATTCTTGGCGACGATGCCAAATTCCCACGTGAACTTCTCTTCATCGGGCGCAACCTACGTATCGTTCAGGGTAACAACCAATTTCTCGGCTCTCCAGTCAATCGTATCAAGATCACTGGCTTATGGGCTAGCAGAGCCCTAATCGAGAGCAAGGATCTGGATGTGGGTGAACGGTTGAAGAACTGGATTCAGCATCTGCGCTTCCGTTGTGTATTGGCGCTCAGCGATGCAGTCTTCTTCTGGAGCAAGATCAAGCAATTGGTTGGCGTGGGTCGAGGCATGGAAGATGACATTGAGGCGCATATGCGCGTTATGGCCAAGGACTTTGGTGTTGAGTTGAACCACGGTGTGTTTGAGGGATAGACGGTGATGGAGATTTGTATGAATAGATGGATGATAATAGCCGCTCTTCTAAATTTATACTTGTTTCATAGAATACAGGTTCCCTGAATGCGACCCTCAGCTGTGTATGCAATGTAAGCGTTTCGAGCTGTCCACCACCATTACAAACGTCCAAGCTCGTGATGACGCGCCTCATTGAATGTGCCGAGGTAAGTCGCAGAAGACGGTCAGACACCTCAACCTGTCCACTGCAATACCATTACACCCATAGCCATCCCCATCTCTCATAGGGTGCTCCGCTTCCCCCCCTCATCTCACATTTCTCAACCAAACTTTCCGTCCCTTTGCTCCACTTTTGACGCGTTCAACGCGTTTTTGCCGAACCTCGGCCAGAAACGACTCGACTCGACTCGATTCTTGCGGGGAAAGCAACGGGGGGATTACTATTCAGGGACCATCACCATCATCACGTTCCCAAAGATTCAAGGGGGAAATCTCCAACTTTTCCCATAATCGCTTTGAGATAACCTTGTTTCGTTAAATCTTTGAACCTCTTGAAAAGAAAAAAGAGAAAAACAATATCGACTAAGTCCATCATGTCTTCCTCGCAATACTCGGATATCGTATTTGAAATCCGCAACCAGATTGGTATAATCAAGGTACTACTAACTTTTTTTCTTTGCCTTTATCTACGCACATTTGTATTATTGGATGTAAATATAATTAACACATATACAAGTTCAACCGCCCGAAAGCACTCAACTCCTTCGGCGGCAATCTCATCCCCGACGTCATTGCCGCACTGCGCGTGCTCAATGAGCATCCAGATACCATCTTCACCGTTTTAACGGGCGAAGGCCGGTTTTTCTCGGCGGGTGCGGATGTCAAGGCTGTTGCCCGGGTGGGTGGAGAGGCGTTTAAGAATGAGGGTGAGAACAAGCTAGTGCAGTTGGGGAGGTCTACTTATGGTAAGTTTGCTGAATCCGATATCAAGACTAGTACTGTAGTAGATCTAACACGGTGTGTCTAGCAACTGAACTTCTACGCTCGATGATTGATCACAAGAAGGTTCTCATCCTTGCGCTCAACGGCCCTGCTGTCGGTGGCGGTGCAGCATGGTTCCCCGGTATCGCGGATATTGTACTTGCTTCATCGACTGCATGGCTCCAGTGCCCCTTTTCTGCACTCGGCCTCGTGCCTGAGAACGGCTCTGCGTTGTCCTTTGCCCAGCACATGGGCATTCACCGTGCAAACGACTTTCTCATGTTTGGTCGTAGACTCACTGCGCAAGAACTGCTTGATGCAGGCCTGTACAACTATGTCTGGGACGCGACGGGCGACGAATTTCAAAAGAAGGTTGTGGAGTTTTTGGAGGAGCAGTTGAAGGTGAATGATGGCAAGAGCATGATTGAGATGAAGCGGTTGCAGAATGCGCCGATTAGAGATGCGAGGATGATGGCCGTCGTAAACTCGATTGATGCGCTTGCGGAGCGGTTTGTCGAGAATGCGCCGATGAAGAGGTTTGAAATTAAGAGGAGGGAGTTGGAGGAGAAGAGTAAGGCTAAGGCGAAGATTTAGAGTGTAGAATCTGGGATTGATAGGTGGTTTGGCGGAAGTTTGTGGCACGTTTTGAAAGATCACACACAGAGTACACGAATATATTTGGGGGTTTTTTCCCTTAGAATCTGGACTAGCCTTAATTCCGTCTTGGAGCATACATCAGAGTACATTTGCACGGTGGTACAACAATCTCCGACAATACTCGTGTACTACTAGATGGCGCCCCGCTTTAACCTCCACCCCTGTCGAATCCGCAATCCCCCACATCTTTCCGACATCGCGTCAGGTAGCCCCGGGAGAACACATATCCAAGGTAGATGAGTATTCCAACCCTGCCATACAAATAGCAGCCTTTCAAACTTACAATTCCTAGTTCAGAATCCCTTGATCGAATAACGTCATCACAATGGCACCAAACTGGGATAGACTCATCCGCTTCATTGCAACAGACGGCCGCGAGCTGCGGGGTCAACCAATTCTTCCCTCCGCGGACTTTGATATTGGAACGACAACTGAGGAAACAGGACTAAAAGCTAAAGTCATCGATGTAAAAAACAATGACATCTTTGACCCAGCGACAAAAGTCACAGACGAGGAAGTGACTGTGAAGAAGCTTCTCGGTCCCGTGACACAGGATGAAGTCCCGATTATCCGATGCATAGGACTGAACTTTATCAAGCACAGTACGTTCCCTTGTTCTTCCAAGAAAACCACCACATATAACCACTTACTGATCACTTAATAAAAAAAACAGTCCAAGAAGGAGGGCGCACACTCCCCCCCTTCCCCTCCACCTTCATCAAAGCAAACACCTGCCTAACCGACCACAACGCCCCAATCATCATCCCCAAAATCGCCCAAGACAACCAAGCCGACTACGAAGGCGAACTCTGCTTCATAATCTCCCGCGACGCAAAAGACGTCTCAGAATCCGACGCCTTCAGCTACATCGGCGGCTACCTTTCCGGCAACGACGTCTCCAGCCGCAAACTGCAGCGCGACCCCCTCCTCGCCGGCACCGTCCCACAATGGAACTTTTCAAAAGGCTTCGACACGTACGCGCCCTTAGGCCCGCAAATCGTCAGCACAGCCGTCATTCCTGATCCGAGTGTTTTGCAGCTGCAGACGCGCGTGAATGGCGAGTTGCGCCAGGATTCGGGTATTGATGATTTGTGCTTTAAGATTCCGACGCTGGTCGCGTATTGTAGTCAGGGGACTACGTTGAAGAAGGGGACCGTGTTTATGACGGGGACGTGTGCGGGGGTCGGGTATGCGATGGCGACGCCGCAGTTTTTGAAGCCGGGGGATGTGGTGGAGGTTAGTGTGACGCCGCATGTTGGAACGTTGAGGAATGTGGTTGAGTATGCTTGATTGGGGAGGGCGGATGTTGTTGTGTCTTCATGGTTCGAAGGTTATACGGATATTGAGCAGTGCACTTTGAAGAGAAAGAACCGTAGTGAAAACAATGAAATCTTGTTGAATAACAATCTCAGATCACAGAGATCACTTCAACCGTGTGAACCTGCAAACGTCCAACCCACACAACTCACGAGGAAAATCTGTCGTCATGGCCTATCACCTCTTCAAGCTAAGACAGTTTCAGGCAAAAAACTGACAGTTTGTCAAATACCCAAACAATCCTTAGGGTAACCTTCCCACGGATCGAGCCAACGTCCCGGTGTGCTAAAATACCCATCACACGGTCTACCCATACGACATATGCTATACGACAGGGCGTACGATGAACTACACCCAGTAGCTCCAGTCCCAGCACCGGCTTATCTACGGGAATGACCAAGGACGCAATCTCCCCGCCAGTGACCCACAACAGCAGTAACTTGTACCTAAGATCATCGCTCTCCAGTTCCTGCACGGCGTTCGTCAAACAAAAGAATCTGCGCTGTAAAGGCATGGGACCGACACGGAATGCCTTACAGACGGTGATGTATGTAATACGAGACAAATCCACACCCGGGGGCGGGCAGAAGCGTACTTTCTCGCACGTGAAAGCGGACCGACTCTAGCAAGGTGGGGGCAGTCCCAGAACCGTTCTTTTTTACGCAGTATAGAGAACAGAAGCAAGAACCTTGGAGACACCAAGCATACCACCATACAAAAAACAGAGAATTGTGAGAAGCACCATATCGTATGATGGCTTCGATCGATCACTACCACGATTCTCACGGGTTTCCAGGAGCGTACGCGCTGACCACCGGCACAAACCAGCCAAACAGGCCAATTACGTGCATACTTACGTATGTATGTACCAAGTTGCATATTCCCTTGCACTACGCTACAATCATGCCACCCACCCACACACTTCTTCTCCCCACCGAACCGGGGCACACCCTCCTAAGTTGTACTTACTACTACTACTACTACTACTACTACTACTATTACTACTACTTACTATCTACAATTGGGGAATGCCGAAGTCCGATCGCAGGCCCCACTCACCCTTCGCCAACGCCGTTGGGGCAATCGTGGGGGGTTTCCCATCACTCTCTCTCACACACACACACACACGGTAAAGCATGGTTCCCACAAAAATTCAAGGCAACGCTGGCGGAAGGGGGGACACAAGCCCCCATAGTACTAGCCCAGGCTAAGGTTTTCTTGGGATAAAAAGGCTTGTTGGATCGTCGTCTGGGTCTGCCGTTCGCGTGTGGTGCGGGTTGACCCACCACCATAACAGCTGCCAAGTTGCCTACTAACCAACCAGATTCGCTCTCTGGTAGGAGAGAAGAGTTTCATGTCGTTTTTTTTTGCACTGCCCTTTGGTACTAAACTATTTTCGGGGGTTGTTTGCGGCAGCTTGATGATGCCCTGCATGCTCGGGAGTTTTCTTTTTGTCTGTGCGGTATAGAGTAGTACAGAGTATGGGTGCCTTGATGACGCTTGGCTCCCCTGCTCGCCGCAATACCCTTGGAAAGGTACCATGGTGGCGGCGGGAGCGTATACAAAGTCACTGCAAACGAGACACATGTGTCGAAAAATCCTTTTTTTTTCTCTTGTTCGGTATGCGGGCACTCGGGGAGGCGGTGTTTGAAAAGGAGCTGAATACTACGTAGGTGTGCGCGTATATCATGTACACATGTAGTCACCAAAGCAAGCCACGTCGAGATCCTTCGCCGGGGCAACCCTCTCGAAGTAGCAAGCCGTAGTTCAAGAAGGAATCAAGTCATGCGCAGATGGACACTTATGATACAAAAAAAATAATGGAAATGGAAAATCGCGCAAGCTTGAGAGGGAGGGAGTTTAGGCGGGGGGAAGCTTAGTCTGCCGTTTAAGAGTGTGGCTATGGCGGGCATTCGAAAATCGCTCATGGCTAACCACCAAGAGTTTGGACTCGACCATCTTACCGGAGTAGCAACAATGCCGTGGCATTCGCTGCCGTGCAAAACGTGTGACAGCCGCCTGTAACTGGGGCCACGCCCCTGCACCGCTTCTTTCGCTCCTTTTTTTTATTCTCTCTTTTCTCTATCAAAGTGTATGAGGTATTTGTGCGTCCAATCACGCGGGGCGGGCCCCCCAGTAAGACGAGGCCGTTTCTCACGCATGTCATCTGCGGTTGCTGGTATGCGGGCTATGCCTTGCTTGGTTTGCTTGTAATCATACACGCGCGCAGGCTCGAAAACAAGGACAGGCAAGACAAGCGCTCGTTGCGATTCTGGGAACCCTTCTTGGGGAGGGGCCCCACGGCGGAATACTACTAGTAGTAGAATAACAAAAAAAGGGAAGGACAAGCTATCCCGATGCTGGGCTGGCTGGTTTGTTGCATCACATATAAAACAAGCCCTTTCACGTAATTGACCGGAGCCGTTGCCTTTTGACTGAACGCGTTCCATCTTCTCCTCTCTTTCCTTCACCTCTCCATTGTCTTCTCTGAGAGCCAACCTGTTTAATTGAAACCGCGCTCTCAATCACCCTTCACATGGACAACGAAGAGAAGGGAATCCCCCGTGTTCGCTTTGGGGAGCTCAATCTCCCCGCCGAGGCAGATGGATACGTGACACACGACCGGCGCCATGAGCGGCCGTTGTCAAGACGGTCCAGCGTGGGCAGCATGTCTATTCGCAGTACTGGCGCGCGTACGGTTCAGCCAGAAACTGCTCTGCCCATTGCCTACCGCACACTGTCCATTGAGGTTGACGAGCGTCAACTTGAGAAACAAGCCGAGACGAAAAAGGCAAAGGAGAAAGCAGCAATTGGTGATTTAAGCCTTTTGTTTCGAAATTGTCGTACGATATGATTATACTGACTCTGGAGTATAGATGTGGCGGGCTTGGAATGGCATACTCTCGCTGTCCCCGACTTGTGCCAGCGTCTGTCTGTCGACACTGAGCGCGGTCTCTCCGACGACGACGTCAAGCGACTCAGGAATCAGTATGGTCTGAATAAGATCACTCCTCCTCCCTCTGGACTCTTAGGCAAGCTGATCGGATACTTCTTTGGTGGTTTCGGAAGTATCCTGATCGTTGCTGGTATCCTGGTATTCGTCTCTTGGAAGCCACTGGGCAGTCCCCCAGCGACAGCTAACTTGGCGCTTGCCTGTGTGTTGATTGCTGTCTGGCTCATCCAGGCGGGATTCAACGCGTGGCAGGATTGGTCGACGAGCAAGGTCATGGCTTCCATTGGTACTATGCTTCCAGATGCGTGTATTGTGGTTCGCGGCGGCTCGCAGACGAGCATCTCGGCTCAGGACTTGGTTCCCGGAGACGTCATCGTCATCAAGCAAGGAAACAAGCTTCCGGCTGATGTTCGTTTTATCGAAGTCTCTGGAGATGCCATGTTTGATCGCGCTATTCTTACGGGTAAGTTGTTGTTCTGTGTGTACTTTGTATGATAGAGATTAACGCCCCACAGGTGAATCCGAACCAGTCAATGCCACCGTCAACCGAACCGAAGACAATTATCTCGAAACCAACAATATCGGTATGCAAGGAACGCATTGTGTTTCTGGTAGCTGTGTGGGTGTCTGTGTGGCGACTGGTGACGATACGATTTTCGGCCGCATC